CTGAAACGAATAACGAAACTTAGTTTAAAACAAATTTACACACTGCAATAAAGAGATATCACAAATATTACACTAAATATTATGTGTTTTTATGAAATAAAAATATCTGCGTATTTTTATATTAAGGCTCCTAGTTCTTTTGCCGAACACTCCACGTTGACAGTGGAGCCGCAATGTAAGCGGCAGGAGTAAAAACCTTCTCTAGCGAATTCACCGCATGATAAATGGGAGTAGGTTCTGTTGCGTGCTACGAGTAGTATAAGATAGACAAAGGCGGACACCGAATCTATGGGCGATATTCATAGTCGGATCTTATATTTAAGCCCGTCTTAAGTTCACCTTCAGATATCCCGTAGCCAATGAAATAATTTGTACAGCACTTGAAGATGAAATTAAAATAGTCTTAAATATAAAATCCAACTATGGCTGCGTTCCGATGTTCACTGCCAGCACTGAAAATCTATAATATTCGTGACACAAACTATGTAAATATTTTCAGTATTGACAGTAAATATCGGAACGCAACCTATGAATACCAGCCTATATCTGTCTTTGTCTCTAGATATCTTGTCACTAGACATCTAACAGTCGCAGTGGCTGGCACGAACTAACGGCGATCTTATCTCTCACGACCCATCTCTCACATGTCCCTCCATTCACGTGATGCCTTAGGACTCACGTATGTCTATTATTGTAGCCCCTCACGCTGTTTTAAATTATGCGACATGTACGTTAATTGTATGGAAAGGTAACGTACTGTACTATAAAATTCCAAAATTAAATATTCCACTTTTCTGTAACGTACGTACTGTAAGACATTACATTATGTTTTCTGTTGTACGGTGCCATAAAATTAGCTTATGTGTCGTGTAACGCAAGATTCTCACATAAATAGCGAGAAACATGCTTATATATGCTTATGTATGCGCACATGTATACAATTTATACATAATAATTGTACGCATCTATTCTTAGATCATATATGTTAATAACAGCTAGCAAAAAGCATGGAGAAATAGTCTAATCGCTTGATTAGTAAGCTAGCGATCCGGGCTTGATTCTAGTTATGGTATGGTGTAGTTTCTTCCTTTTTATTCTTATTTCATATTTTTTTAAATTTAATGTTAATGTTAGTATATATCGAGTGTTTCAGACCACTCGGATCACCCGATTTTTTCGTTAACATATTTTAGAAAAAAATATTTCAGACAAAAGTTGTAGGGCTTCAAAGAATCTATTTACTGACGCTATGAATTTGACCTTGGGATAACCTTGAAAAGTCCAGTCAAAATCAACATAAAAATCTTAAATGAATATCTGAATTTTTTACTACATCATTTTTTCTAGTGATTAATTTGAACAACTTTTGTCTAAAACATTTTTTTATTTGTTTAATATTTTTTTAGATATTTGAGGAAAACTTAATCATTTTTCCAATATTTAATTTACAATATCTCGCTAATTATTTGTCGGAAGAAATAGTGGTACTAGATTTTCTTGCTTTGTTTAGTCTCAAAAATATATAGTTACAATAGCGCCCTGATTTTTGTTATTAGGTACGCAACTAAGTTCCCGCTGTTTTTCAAGAGATGGCTCCAGTAGTAAGTGCTGGTCGATTGTGACATAACCAAAACGTCATGAACCAAGCTTAGACATATGGTAAACAAACCGCTTTGACACATTAGTGATTTTGTTTTTGCGTCATATACTTTTGGTTGTGTGAAAATGTCTTATTTTGTGCCAAATAATCGTCATTTGCGGGAAGTGTTGCTTTTCTTCTTTCATTCGAAGGAAACGGCGGCTGAAGCGCATCGAGAACTCCAAAAAGTTTACGGAGATGCTGCTCTAAGTGAAACAACGTGCCGTGATTGGTTCCGTCGCTTCAAAGACGGTGATTTCGATGTTGACGACCGTTCGCGTGAAGGAAGGCCAAAAACCTTCGAAGACGCTGAATTGGAGGCATTGCTCGATGAGGATCCGTGCCAAACGCAAAAAGAGCTTGCTTCAGCATTAGGAGTTACCCGCCAAGCCATTTCCAAGCGATTGCATGCGTTGAGAATGATTCAAAAACAAAGAACTTGGGTTCCTTATGATTTGAAGCCAAGAGACGTTGAGCGTCGTTTTTTCGCCTGTGAACAACTGCTCCAGCGGCAAAAAAGGAAGGGTTTTCTTCATCGTATCGTTACGGGTGATAAAAAATGGATTCATTACAGCAACCCAAAGAGAACAAAATCATGGGGACTGCCCAGTCATGCTTCTACGTCGTCGGCTCGGCCGAATATTCACGCTGCGAAGGTTTTGCTGTGTATTTGGTAGGACCAGGGCGGTGTTATTTATTATGAGCTGTTGAAACCGAACGAAACCATCACTGGGGAACGGTATCGAACTCAATTGATGCGATTGAGCCGAGCACTGCGCGAAAAGCGGCCACAATACGAGCAGAAGCACGAAAAAGTGATTCTACAGCATGACAACGCTCGGCCTCACGTTACCAAACCCGTTAAAACCTACTTAGAAACGCTCAAATGGGAAGTCCTACCCCACCCGCCATATTCCCCAGATATTGCGCCGTCCGATTATTACTTGTTCCGTTCGATGACACATGGTCTGGCTAATCAGCAGTTCCGCTCATATGAAGACATCTCAAAATGGCTTGATTCGTGGATAGCCTCAAAAGACGAACACTTCTACCGTGACGGTATTCGAGCTCTGCCAGAAAGATGGGAAAAAGTTGTCGCTAGCCATGGGCAATATTTTGAATGATTCATTTGTAACCATTTTTTCACAATAAAGTTGCATTTTCATCAAAAAAACAGCGAGAACTTAGTTGCGCACCTAATAATTTGATGATTTTGAAATTTCCAAAAATTAATAAGTCAGTAAACGTCAAGGCACTATTGTAACAATATATTCTTGAGACTAAATAGAGCAAAAAAGTCTAGTACTACTTTTTCTTCCGACATCTAGTTACCGAGATATCCTAAGTTAAATATTGAAAAAGTTATCAAGTTTTCCTACAATATCTAGAAAAAATATTAGGCAAATAAAAAAATATTTTAGACAAAAGTTCAAATTAATTAGTCCAAAAAGACGGTGTAAAAAATTGCAGTTTTCATTTCAGATTTATATATTGATCTTGACTGGACTTTTCAAGGTTATCCCAAGGTCTCCCTCCGAGAGATCCCACCTTGTCGTGGTGGAGGGACTCGGGCGTTCCCGTGATCCACTGGGACAGTACCTTCGGTCCAACCGAAGTGAGGGCCCAGTGGGGAGGTACGCCCGCTAAGAGCATCCCAGGGTAGGTTTCGAGACCCTTTGGATCAGAATTCCTGACCCAAGGTCTCGTTGCGCGAGGGAAGCCTCCCACCCTGAGGGCATTGCACGCCGGTGCTCTGGCAGCCTGAGGGGTGGATTGGGGTCCCCTTTTCGTTTTGGTGGGAGCGCTCCTGAGGGCATTGCACGCCGGTGCTCCGGCAGCCTGAGGGAGCGAGTCACACCTGGGTTTGCACACCGTGAGGGTTTGGGACCCCTCACGGTACCCAGGGTGGCGGGGGGGCTCCGAGCCGCTCAGACATGTTCCGAGGTCGGGGCCGGGGCCCCCCGGTGTGCCCGGTGGATGAGGATCGCATCATCCCTAAACCCATCCACCGGGCGGCAATGTTAGGCTGGCTGCCGTGGGGGAGCGGTCCCGTCGGGGTGCGATGGCGGTGACCTAACTCCTGCCACGGGGCCCCCCGCGTGGCGGCGCTGCTGAGGGTACCCTCGGGGTCGGAGACGAGGGGCCCCTGAAACCGGCCTGGCCCCAGCGATGGGGTCAGGGCGGGAGTAGGGGGCTGGAGCCCAGTGACCAAATGCCCTCCCTGGTCCAGTGGCATAGACCGGTTCCCTGGGGGAACCCGGGGACACCACCGGGTCATGTTTTCGGTGATGCGGGCATGCCCGACCGGTCGAGCCCTCAGCAGTAGTGGGTGTAAACTCATAATGGCAGAATCAATTGATTTACAAAAAGGAAAGAATAAGCGCAGGAAGAGGGAGGATGAGGCGAGACCTTCCGGGGCCTCGCCGGCCCCTTCGGAGACATCGGTGGCCTCCACGGTGCTGGTGGAAGAGGATCCAGCAATCCCGGAAGAAATCAGCTTCTCTGTTGAGAGGTGGAATAGGTGGGATGAAGAGAGGGAGCTCGCTTTAAGTGATGTAAGGTCTATGTTTGACGGGACTGATGCGGTTTGGGACGAGGGTTATAAGGAAATGGCTTCGGCTAGGACACGGGATTTCTTCATAAACACAAGAAAGTATGTGCAACTTCTGTGTAAGGACAGAAGGGCACAATATACAAGGAAGGCAGAGCTTATGAAGGAGTTAAGGAAAAGAATGGAGGAAATGAAGAAGATGAAGACAAGTCTTCTTGCGAGCAATGAGTGCAGGGAGGTTCTTCTCCAGGGTATAGAGGTACGGAGACAAGAAAATCGAGAAGGCCAATAAGGCCAAGGAGAAGGCTGAATCCAGTCTGGCGGCTATGAAGGAGGAGATGAAACTCCTCCGGAGCCAGCTGGACAAAGCCATAGAAGAATTGAAGGAAGCAAGAAAGAAGCCTGACTTCAAATCTGTGGGAGTGATGACGAAGAAGGCGCAGGAGTGGCACCTTCAGAAGGAGGTGGCCACCCAGAAGGACGAAGAGGGGGGAATCGAGTGGTAGGGGGTACATGAGTCCGAGGGGTCGAAGAGGACAGACTCTCCCCCCCGGATTGAGGAGGCCCTACCCTCCCTGGCTCGAGAGGTGGATGTGCTCCGCGGTGCGCTCAGAGAGGCGGTGGAGTGGGAGGCCGCAGAGCACAGAAAAAGGAAGAGGAAAAAGGGAGTTGGTGAGGCTGAGAGTAGCCCGGAGGCCGTACAGGCCAAGCCCTCTCAGCCTCGGGTTGCTGGGCGTGAGAAGGCAGACGAGGGGTGGAGTACGCCTCCCCAGGGTCCGCCTCCCACTCCTAGGAGAGGAAGAAAGGGGC